TCAAACTACATAGTAATACTATGAAAAACTATATCAAACTAAGCGTAAACATTATGTTACACTAGAAACTTGCTTTTGTGTTAGGATTTGTATTCCTGGTAAAACTACTTTAAACTAAATTGCTTGTGTTTTGATTGGTATTGGTATTACTATGAATAACTATGTCAAACTAAGCAGTAGTAATATAAAAAACTATGTCAAAGAAATTGGTATCACTATGAATAACTATGTCAAACTACGTAGTAATACTATGAAAAACTATGTCAAACTAAGCGTAAATATTATGTTACATTAGAAACTTGCTTTTGTGTTAGGATTTGTATTATTGGTAAAACTACTTTAAACTAAATTGCTTGTGTTTTGATTCGTATTGGTATTAGTATGAATAACTATGTCAAACTACGTAGTAATACTATGAAAAACTATGTCAAACTAAGCATAAACATTATGTTACATTAGAAATACATGGAAAACAAATATTGAAACTGTGGGGGCTTACATTAGAAAACAAAGACATAAACCATTGTAGTTGAAACAAATTCATAGGTTTAACAAAGACCCACTGACAAAGATTAGCGAAACATTTGGTTTTCCATAAGCAAAAATATTGCCAATACCTGCCGAAATCTCCTTCAGATTTGCAATCTCCTCAGATTTTGTTTGATCAATAAATCATGGTGTAAGCCATCATTTTGTACAAACCGAATGATGGAAACCCAAAAATTCAAAGAGTCTAACAATAATACCAATTCATAAATCCAGAAATTCAAAAAGAATAACAATAAAACAATTCATAAACTCAGGAATTCAAAAAGAATAACAATAAACTGTTCATAAACTTACATTAGAAACTTGCTTTTATGTTAGGATTTGTATTACTGGTAAAACTACTTTAAACTAAATTGCTTGTGTTTTGATTCGTATTGGTATTACTATGAATAACTATGTCAAACTAAGCAGTAATACTATAAAAAACTATGTCAAACAAATTGGTATTACTATGAATAACTATGTCAAACTACGTAGTAATAATATGAAAAACTATGTCAAACTAAGCATAAACATTATGTTCGTAATTAGAAATACATGGAAAACATTGATTGAAACTGTGGGGGCTTACATTAGAAAACAAAGACATAAACCATTGTAGTTGAAACAAATTCATAGGTTTAACGAAGACCCACTGACAAAGATTAAATAAAAATTTAGTTTTCGTCAGACCTATTTGTGAATCGAACGAGCTCCCCTTGCATGCAATGATGCGAGTCCCAGGCAGATTTCAGTCCCAGCGTCTTCCCAAGATGCAGACTGTTGCCTGGCGGACAAGCTGGCTTTGAATAGTTCAGTATCTCCGGTTTTGAATTGGACAGCTTTCGCTTTCTATCTAAGTTTGTTCCTCCTTTAGGTTGTTTAAGTAGGTTGGGTGACAGATCGTTGCCGAGGAACTCCTTTGAAATCGGAGACTGTTCCCTCTCTCTTGCTTGCTCTTGAATCGATTGTGGGAAAGCCAACCAGAAGTTAGGACTAAGACCTTTTTTCTATGACTTTCGTTCTGGAATGCCGGTGCGGACTAAAGGATGATGTTTATTATCCAGACAAATCCTGAATTCGAAAGACGACAATCAAAGCATCACGACTCGTGGAGCAAAGCAGAGGAGAAATGTCAAAGCCCGGTGCCACAAAATGATTCATCCTGATACCTGTCATAGGATCTCGGGTGGGCCCATTTCGGCCAACTCTCTATCATCTTTCTTACCGACCTAGTCCCTTAGCTACTTCGCTCAGGTTTTTCTATCTATTAGTTAGGTTAGCTACCATAATAAGAAGAAGAAGGCGAAGCAGCTAGAAGCGCTCGCTGGAGACTCGAGTGGGGCGCTTGCTCTCCTCTTGGCAGCGAATGACTGTAAATCCCTCTGTAAGCGGTTCGAACATAAGCAAAAATCATGCCAATACCTGCCAAAATCTCCTTCAGATTTGCAATCTCTTCAGAGTCTTCTGTTCTTCACGCATTTGTTTGATCAAAAATCATGGTGTAAGCCATCATTCTGAACAAACTGAATGATGAAAACCCAGAAATTCAAAGAGTCTAATAATAATACATATTCATAAACCCAGAAATTCAAAAAGATTAACAACAAAACAATTCATAAAATCAGAAATTCAAAAATAATAACAATAAAACTATTCATAAACTTACATTAGAAACTTGCTTTTGTGTTAGGATTTGTATTACTCGTAGAACTACTTTAAATTAAATTACTTGTGTTTTGATTCGTATTGGTATTACTATGAATAACTATGTCAAACTAAGCAGTAATACTATAAAAAACTATGTCAAAAAAATTGGTATTACTATGAATAACTATGTCAAATTACGTAGTAATACTATAAAAAAAACTATGTCAAACTAAGCATAAACATTATGTTCTTAATTAGAAATACATGGAAAACATTGATTGAAACTGTGGGGGCTTACATTAGAAAACAAAGACATAAACCATTGTAGTTGAAACAAATTCATAGGTTTAACAAAGACCCACTGACAAATATTAGCTAAACATTTGGTTTTCCATAACCGAAAATCTTGCCAATACCTGCCAAAATCTCCTTCAGATTTGCAATCTCCTCATAATTGGTCTTCAGTTCTTCACGCATTTGTTTGATTGCACAAACCAAATGATGAAAACCCAGATATTCAAAGAGTCTAACAATAATATCAATTTATAAACCAAGAAGTTCAAAAATAATAACAATAAAACAATTCAAAAACTCAGAAATTCAAAAAGAATAACAATAAAACTATTCATAAACTTACATTAGAAACTTGCTTTAGTGTTAGGATTTGTATTACTCATAAAACTACTTTAAATTAAATTGCTTGTATTTTGATTCGTATTGGTATTACTATGAATAACTATGTCAAACTAAGCAGTAATACTATAAAAAACTATGTCAAACAAATTGGTATTACTATAAATAACTATGTCAAATTACGTAGTAATACTATGAAAAACTATGTCAAACTAAGCATAAACATTATGTTCTTAATTAGAAATACATGGAAAAGATTGATTGAAACTGTGGGGGCTTACATTAGAAAACAAAGACATAAACCTTTGTAGTTGAAACAAATTCATAGGTTTAACAAAGACCCACTGACAAATATTAGCTAAACATTTGGTTTTCCATAACCAAAAATCTTACCAATACCTGCCAAAATCTCCTTCAGAATTGCAATCTCATCAGAATTGGTCTTCAGTTCTTCACGCATTTATTTGATCAATAAATCATGGTGTAAGCCATATTTCTGCACAAACCAAATGATGAAAACCCAGATATTCAAAGAGTCCAACAATAATATTAATTTATAAACCCAGAAGTTCAAAAAGAATAACAATAAAACAATTCATAAACTCAGAAATTCAAAAAGAATAACAATAAAACTATTAATAAACTTACATTAGAAACTTGCTTTAGTGTTAGGATTTGTATTACTCGTAAAACTACTTTAAATTAAATTGCTTGTGTTTTGATTCGTATTGGTATTACTACGAATAACTATGTCAAACTAAGCAGTAATACTATTAAAAACTATGTCAAACAAATTGGTATTACTATGAATAACTATGTCAAACTACATAGTAATACTATAAAAACCTTGTCAAACTAAGCATAAACATTATGTTCTTAATTAGAAATACATGGAAAACATTGATTGAAACTGTGAGGGCTTACATTAGAAAACAAAGACATAAACCATTGTAGTTGAAACAAATTCATAGGTTTAACAAAGACCCACTGACAAAGATTATCTAAATATTTGGTTTTCCATAAGCAAAAATCTTGGCAATACCTGCCAAAATCTCCTTCAGATTTGCAATCTCCTCAGAATTTGTTTGATCAATAAATCATGGTGTAAGCCATCATTTTGTACAAACCGAATGATGAAAACCCAAAAACCCAAATCTCTCTTTATCGATGTATAATCGTCGTAAATCGTCGTAAATGATTAAATTAAATCGTCGTAAATATATATGTTTTCATCATTTGGTTTGTGCAGAATCATGGCTTAAAGCAATGATAAACAGAAATTAAATAACAAGAATTAAAATAAATATTCGTCTTCTAGACGAGATTTATTAAGCAGTTCTTCAAGAACGTTTTTATATATCTTCTGGATATATATATTTTTTTATATAGTTTTTCTGGAATTTTTTTTTATATATATATATGTCTTCGGAACATTTTTTTTCAAGTATGTCTTTTGGACATAATATTTTTTTTAGTTTTTCATAAACTTTTCTTAAATGTTTTCGGGACATTTTTCTTAAATGTTTTCGGGACATTTATTATATGTAGGCAGTGATCTGAGGAGACAACTACCATATAATCACAAACCAAACAAATATTTGATTTGAGGAGACATAGTCTATCATATGATCATGATCGTTAAGGCATAACCTCCATAACGATCGGTTCGGAGAAGGCAACGCCTATCATCCCGACCATAGTATATAAACGTAAATGGATTGAACATAAAATTAAACCTCACATTTTCGGCATAGGAACGGTATAAGAACGGTTCGTGCTAATAACGTTTTATATATTTTATGATATTATATAAGTAAGGATATGTGTTTATATATATGTATATTATTATATTATATTATTTTGGATATAGGTGGTGGTGAGATACGAGAGGGAAGTGAAGAATAATGAAGAATGTTGTTTCTTATTTCACTTCTGAAATAATTATCCTTTCTTTAATTATTATAACAAAAAAGAAAAAAAAAAGAATTGTTACAAAAAGAAGCCGGAAGAAATGTAATGTGATCTGCATTTTACATTTTTCTTTGCAAGACCAACGAAATGTTTCCCATTTACATATTATCAATGAGATTCTCATTTGATAAAACGAATTAGTAAATGCAAAAGTATATTTTGAAATATGTATATATCTTTGATTTGGGATTTTGTTTTATGTATAAGAGACACGAATGTGATCAAAATGTTGAAAATGATCATTACAGACTCTGTTTTAATCTTTCTTCCATCAAATCCGAATCAAATGTCAGAAAAAAACCCTCGACAAGTCTGGTACTTGTCGACATGAACATCATCATCTATGTGCGTCAAAGCGCAAAGAATCAAAAAGGGGAAGATGAATCTAAAGCCCTTCTTCTGAGAGTTTTTCAGCTTCTTGCACAGAAGAACTCCTGTCTAGGCATCATTCCAGTAAACTTGATTCGAGGATCATCGAAACTGTTGAAATTATCCATCTTCAAACTCTGTTCTGCTTCTCTGACAATGGTGTTGTCAAGGCCACTCTTTATCCACGCAATGTTGTTCAAATCGGTTGCTATAGATATCAGTTCTTGGTTGAAAACCGCACGAGGCTCTTCGTAATCCACAAACTCCGGTCCCAAAACCGAGTTAGGGGAAAACTTGGTTCCAGCTGGATAAGTAGAGCAACCATGACCACATTTCGAAGGGATGTGAGGTTCATCGCAAAGAGATTGTAGAAATCTACCAGCCAATGAATCAGGTTTAGCCGCTTGAATCAATGGTCCCTCACATGGAACTACATTGTGATCCCTGTATCCATTTCTCTGGCTGGTAGGGTTATACACACTGAACGCTCCAACACGAGCCACTGGGCGAGACACGTTACTTTCTATCGGAGCGTTACTCTCTGTTGGAGCTTTTTCTTGAGGTTCATTGGCTGCATCATCCATCGTAACATCATTAGCTGCATCATCCATTGTAACATCATTAGCCTGTGGAGGCTCTGGTGGTGAGATGGTATCTCCTTGAGGCGATTGTTGTTTGAAGGATGGATTTGATATTCCCTCGACGTTCTCGTTCTTGACGTAAGCAGTAGTAACTTGGTTGGCCATCCACTGACTATTCTTCCATAGATCTGCGTATTTGCGTCTAAGCGTCGAGTTCCAATGGTTCTTGATCGCGTTATCTGTTCTTCCGGGCAACATTTTCGCAATCACGGCCCATTTGTTTCCGTGAATGGCGTGTGCAGATATTATCATACGATCTTCCTCATCTACAGAATATCAATCAGGAAGAAACGAAAAACATCAATTACAAAAGCCAAACTTCCAAAAGCAACATGTTTGAAAACCTCTTGCTCAACGTTTTCTATGCTTCATGTAACAATGTAATTAGTTCTGGGAATAGCTAAGAGACTATCTATATCTATGACATAGCTCGTGACACTGTGCGAATCCTTAATCCCGGTTTCATTAAAGTTAAAGCTAACATTTTCCCTGAATTGCATCACAACAAAACAGTCTTATTCAGTTCATAATCTCTACCACACTGGAAACAGAATTCACACACTAGATCACAGAGATTACCACCAAAACAAGGAAAATCAAAGTAGAGAAAACGCATCAAAAACAAGTCATCACCAAGATTTGGATATAAGATCCATGAATCACTACGAACAATTCCAGAAGAACACCAAAGTGGAAACCAAAATCCTCTGGAAACCGGAGGAATCGGAGAAAGCAGGAAATCTGAAATTAGATGTTTAGAAGAAGGAAATCGAGGGTTTTTTTGGGACCAACCAGAGAAAGGTTTTCGTTTGAGACAAGGGTCAAGCTGATTACACCAACGCAATCGACAAGATTTTCCAGAGCGGCCAGGGATTCCACGAGCGATCAAACTCCAATTCCTTGGACCTAACTTGCTCACAAGCTTCGTGAGCACGGCGTCTTCCTCCGTAGACCAAGGTCCCTTCACTTTGCTCTTAATTCCTCCGCCGCCGCTTGAGTCTCCGGCAGCTAACTCTGCTAGCTCCGCCTCAATCGCAGCGCTGATTCCTTCATCGGAATCGGCGGATAGTAAAGGTAACGGCTCCGATGATCGATGAGTTTCTTCTCCTTCCATTATTTTCTTTTTGCCAGAAATGAATTAAATTTTGAAAAAAAAAAGAAGAAAAATTGATTTTGGGTCTGCTTTCCTAACTGCAAAAAGCTTTAGTGGAAGGTTTATTAACGAGGCTCTTTTTTTTTCTTCAAATATGTTCGTTTTGATTTAATTTTTTTTCCTTCTCGCGAGGAGGCGGTCTTTTTTTGTTGGGATTTACTATTTTACCCTTTGCTTCCTCGAATTTCCATAACGCCCAGTCTGTTATGAGTCATCATTATAGCTTACCTTTTTGCCGTTTTCAGTTTTCACACGACATTTTTATTTTTATTTGAAGACAAAAACTTCCACTTCCATAAATTTATCAATTGACTGACATTTTTTCACACTACATTTTTACTTGGTTTTTTTTATATATATAATTTATCAGTTGACAGCTTTTCGTCTACAAATTTATGTTTCTTTTTTGATAAAATAAAAACTGAGAACAACAACAAAAATTATAGGTGCGAGATCTTTGTAAGTGATAAGTTTTAGCATACAAGTGAAATAATTAGAGAAAATACATATAAATTATTTTGAACTTTTCCATTGCATATATGTAAATGTAGCAAAAAGACTTTACTCAACTATACAATAAGTCAACTTAGGCCGAAAGAAAAAAGGTTGATAAAACACACAAGTAAAGACACAGTGGAACCAAAGACGTTCGAGGAAGCCCAAAGCCCAAGGAAATTCTTAGCCCACTAAAATAATCCTGTAACCAAGTAGTGTAACCGGTAACTTAATAGTCCTGTAGTTGAAATCGAAAGAGGCCACAGAATCCTAGCTAGTCATTTAGTCAAGAGACAGCTAAAGCTAGAGAATCTTGCTTGCCACCGCCGAATTTTGATGTGGAAAGGAGGCGATTCTGTTCTTGATAATCCGGTTGATTCTCGTGATTAGGTTGTCTGTCGAACTGTGGATCGATGTTTACGGTTAAATTATTTATAAAACAAATTACAACGTTCAAATTAGTTATAAACGCTGTATTCCTTTTTTGTTGGTTAGTAAAACACGGTATTCTCTTTTGTTACCACTTCTTGCCTTTTTATGTTAATCACGGATTTGCTAACCATAATATTTGCAAGTCTTTATGTTAGTGTTCTTTATCCTTATTTTGTTTTCAAACACGCTGCATAAATCATCATTCCTAGTCACTCTTAATTTTTCGTTATCTAACCCTACACTAAGCTTCACCATAAAAATTAAAATCAGATTCCCAAACCACACACAATTAATTTCCTACATGTAAGTCAGTGGTACCTCGTGGTGTAGCACGAGGAAAATGAACGCGACGTGTGATGGAGACGTCTAATCGACGCAGTCGCAGTGACGAAAAAAGCGAGCGTAACGGTGTGGAAATTTATGCTTTAAGTTCTCGGGATATAAAAAAAACGATTAAAAAATATATGCAATCTTCCAGAATCGATATAAACTTTTGCTGACGAACTTTTTTTATAACATTAGTTTAGTTTATGGGTTAATTGGGAAAACTTCGTAACATACAAGTCAATGGTTTGAAATTAGACCTAAGAGAAAACGACACGAGCGTCGAGTCATGCATACTCTTGCCCTAAAATTAGGACAACTGAATTGAGATAGACAATGACACTGTCTTCTATTTATTGGACACTAAGTTAATGTTGCCACGTGCTATTAATACCTTCTTATCAACTCTTGACAACTTTCGTTTTAGGTTTAAATCATTTTGAAATAAAGAGTAAGTTAAATGTTTACTCGATATAACACGCTAAACTCCACAACCAAAGACATTGATCATGTAAGTAAAAACTATACCTCTCTGTGTATTAAAGAAGAAGAATATCCGTTCAATCTCGACACTAAAATCGGAAAACCTTTACATATCGATACGTGTTAGCAAATTTGTAGACTCGGCGTCGCAAATTTGTAGACCAAACCAAAAAAAAAAAAAAAGAATTTTCGTGTAAATTATAGTCATGTAATTTTACTGTGATCATTATTAAATTTTTAAAAATGTTTGTAGTTTTATTTTGTGAAAAAAGGTTTGTATATGTAGTAGAGTAGGAGTTAAATAAACTTGATATCTTTGTTAGGAATTAAAATCGCGAAATGGTCCCCGTCGAATTCTTAGCTAGCTTTTGAATAATACATTTAATATCGTCATTCCGTTTCTGACAAAAGCGTTTACCTCATTTCTTTCTAACCATGCACACATTTATGTACATATATATATATACATATATATACATACATATATATATATGTAACATACATTGATCTCTCCTTTTTTTATAAAAAAAAATTTCTGGTTGTATATATTTCTCTTAAGGGAAGGTTACATTACATGGAAACAGAAAAATTGATTTCTGGTTCTTAAATTATTCCAATAGACATGTATTAAAGTCTACACTGACCCGGCCTGATATATCTAATATAACCCAAAAATAATTATAATTTTGTAATATTTAAACTCATAATATTTTTTCGATTAAAAAAATTATCATTTTATTTTATTTGGGATCTCAAAATTTTCAAAACCCATTCTGTTAAAAGTCCATAAAACTTAACAACTAATTTTTCGACCAAACTAATAGAAAGATGACCAAGGAAAGTGTGGACTGACGCAATGACTTATAAATAAAAACGACTTGAGAATTGAAAGGTGGAAGCATTGATGCAAAGAAACGAAAGTAGGTCCATAAGAGTTGGTGCCTTCTTACTCAACTCGTCCTTGTTACGTTCCTCCACTAAAAACGCTTCAGCAAGGATGTGCTCACTGCTCATTTCTATGTCCTCACTGCACATTTTTAAATTTAGTATAGATAAAATTAACTCTGTACATATATATAGTTCCTACAGTTAGAGGTGGTCTTCTAGAAAAGGATAAAATTTATTTCTTCCTTTTACTTGAGCTATATATCATACACCAAACCTTAATTCGGAATTCGAACCAACTGATTTCGAGTTGGTTATTTCAGCTACCTGAAAAATCAATAATTCACCTGATCACTTTTTTGGTAGTTTATATATGATAGTAATCAGCATGTTGGTCGAAGTTGTGGATCAATCGAAAACCGAACTTATTATTTTCAGCCATGATACATTCCAAAAACTAATCTCAAATTCGAATTAATGGATTAGCAAAAAGTAGCGAAATTTTAAATAATCAAAACTTGTTAGCCAACAAACAAATTCAAATGTAATAAGACCGATATTTTGGTATAATGGGTCAGCAAAAATTAACGAAATTCAGAGTAATACAAACTTGTTAGCCAACAAAACAAATTGAAGTGTATGAAAACCAATATACCTATGTATACAATAAAGTTGAACTCTATATATATACACAAATAATGAGTTTTGTGACATGGTGAGTACGAAATAAGGAGATGGAAAGAACGACAAAGAGGTGTGCGGAACTGGGGTTGGTGTCCAACAAAGAAGAGACATCTAATACATATTATGTTCTCTACGTTGGGATCTTTTCTAAGTGACCCACTTTTGTTTTGCTGTCTTACTTGTATATCTCACTTTCATGATTTCATCTATCTACAACTACAAACCATGCATCCCCATTTTACCCTACCATATGCTCTACATCCATACGTGCGTCTCCCAATACATACACTTTAATATGATATGATATTCATATATATGCATCATACATGTTATATACGTATTGATATACAGTATGTTTTTTATAAAAAAAATGAAAGAAGAGAAGTGGTTAAGGATAATACACTTCTCTCGCAATTGCTTGTATTTCAGTTTGTGATCTCACTCTTTTCCAACGACCAATCATTTTTTTTTTTAAAAGCCTCTCCATATATATTGGCTATGTGTATCCCCATTAGTTCTATTTCCTCTCGTACCGTCGTAGGTCATGTATCTTACAGTTTATCTGATGAAGAATTCTTAGTTTTAAACTTTTGACGCAATAATAATGCAGCTGATCAGTAATAGTAAGAAAACTTAAAATAAATTTATGTAATAGCTTCATAGGAATAATAAATGAAAACTTAAACAGTAGTTTGCTGCCTAAAACTTTCACAATTTCATATATATATATATACTTTTTTTTTTCAATATATTTTGTAGATGGCATGGAACCGCCAAAAGGTACTCTTTACCACAAGTATTTTAATATTTTGCTATAATTTTTATGCCATATTTTTTTGCCATCAAATTTTGTCGCTTCATCAGTTGTTAGGCTGTAAATGTATAGTTTAAGTTCTTAACTACAGCTTCAATGTTTTTTGAAGTAATATCCTTACAACTTCGAGAAGGCCAACAAATGATATATAGGCCGATTGGTTTTGGATGGATTCCACTCGTATAATGATCACAACATTTGTTGATTGCCTAACAAAAAGATTGATGCAAAAAAAAAATGTCTAGAGTTCTTTTCAATTATACATTTTCCTTGCGAAACTTAAATATTAATTAGAACAGTTGGTATTACATTAGGTATTGTTTTCGTATTTATATATGCAGTATTACACAAAACACGATCTCAAGGACAGGTATATATCGATGTATTGATATGCCAAGCATGCAGTTATTTCCCTAATATTTAAAATCTAAAAGTTTATGGAATTCTCATGATTCATTTCAGGTACACGCTATGACCAAATGCTTTACAAGTTTTTTTCCTAACCCATATGGGTTGGCGTGATGGTGATTAGGCCTAATGATGATGACAGAAGTAAGTACTAATTTAACTATCTGTAAACAATGTTTAGGCCCTTTAATCTATTCCATGAAAGGTCCACTAATAATTTATGCATAGTGGATATGCTAAATTTTTTTACAGATTAATATTAATGAATATCTTTACCTGTAAAAGAAAAGGTTCTTAGTAGTCACAAAAGCACAAACACAAATCATGTGATTGAGAAGACTGCCACAATCTTAGTTACAATTCTGAAATTCTCATTCTATTCCAACTTTCACGTTTCTCTAATAAATACTTTCTGATTAATTAATATAAAGTATTTTCCAACACTTTTTTTTATTCTTACTATATATAAAAAAAAACTTTCTACGTATATATATGCTGTA